AAAAAAAAAAAAAAAAAATTCTCGATGGACTCCTACCAGCCTCTACAGGAAACCTGGAATATTCCACACGGGATGTACAGCAAAGTCTGGCTCCAAATACCCTGTACAGAGCGGTCCCGGGGCTGCTGTCAGTGTGGGGGGGCCCTGGGAGGGGGAGATCCCGGGATCGGGGAGCCCCAGGGAGCCGATCCGTACAGGGTATGGGCTCGGGGAGCGGCTAACTCGGCTACAACAAGGTCAAATCAAGTGACAGCGCACCCATCCACATGTCTAACATCAGGTACAGACTTCCCAAGGGCAGGATTTCTTTTTGGAAGAAGGCTTATTCCAGTTGCAGGAGGCTGGCATGAGGTGTATGGATGCCCGGGCACAGCTCCCGGGCGTGGCAGCGGGGCCCGCAGTCCGTTTAGAAGCATTTACGGTGCACGATGGAGGGGCCGGACTCGTCGTACTCCTGCTTGCTGATCCACATCTGCTGGAAGGTGGAGAGGGACGCCAGGATGGAGCCGCCGATCCACACGGAGTATTTGCGCTCCGGCGGGGCAATGATCTGCAGAGAGGAGAGAACAGTGAGTGGTCAGGGCACAGCCAGAGCCTTCCCTTCACCCCTCACCGCCCCAGAGCCCGGAGCCTGTCCCACCTTGATCTTCATGGTGCTGGGGGCCAGCGCCGTGATCTCCTTCTGCATCCTGTCGGCGATGCCGGGGTACATGGTGGTGCCTCCGGACAGCACCGTGTTGGCGTACAGGTCCTTCCTGATGTCCACGTCACACTTCATGATGGAGTTGAAAGTGGTCTCGTGGATGCCACAGGATTCCATGCCTGAGTGGGGAGGGAGGGAGGGGCATGTTTGTTAGTGCCAACCAGAATCTTGTTAGTTCCCCCCAGCACCCCAAAGTGCCCACCCACCACCTTGTCAGTGCCACCCAGCCCCCTTTACTGCCACAAAGAAGCTTTTTACTACTAACCCAGGGCCCCTCAGTGCCCACCCACCACCTTGATAGTGTCACACAGGGCCTTGTCTGTACCACTCAGGACCTCTCGGTGACGCACCCTGGACCCCTCCCCTCAACTCCACCCCACCCAGAGCTGCCCCTGCCCCAGCATCCTGACATACCCAGGAAAGAAGGCTGGAAAAGGGCCTCAGGACACCGGAACCTCTCGTTGCCGATGGTGATGACCTGCCCATCGGGCAGCTCGTAGCTCTTCTCCAGCGAGGAGGAGGAGGCGGCCGTGGCCATCTCCTGCTCGAAGTCCAGGGCCACGTAGCAGAGCTTCTCCTTGATGTCCCGCACGATCTCCCGCTCGGCCGTGGTGGTGAAGCTGTAGCCCCTCTCTGTCAGGATCTTCATGAGGTAGTCGGTGAGGTCGCGGCCGGCCAGGTCCAGGCGCAGGATGGCGTGGGGCAGAGCGTAGCCCTCGTAGATGGGCACGGTGTGGGTCACACCATCCCCAGAGTCCATTACAATGCCTGTGGTGCGGCCAGAAGCGTACAGGGACAGCACGGCCTGGATGGCCACGTACATGGCCGGGGTGTTGAAGGTCTCAAACATGATCTGGGAGGAGGAGAAGAATCAATTAGCAGCAGGTCCCCAGCTGGGCGCGTGCACTCAGTGTTAGAACACACATGCTTGGCATGCAGAGCAACCCAGTGTGTGAAGGGAAAGCCAAAAAAGGATGCAGGCAGAAAACACAAATGAAAGAACCTGAGGCGTCAGGGGAGAAATGCCAGGAGAACAGAACCCTGAAAATGTCGGGAGAAACAAAACAAAACAAAAAAAAGAACAAAAAATTCAGGTTTCAGATGTAATGAAGGAGGTTCGTGAAGATGAGTGAGGGGGTCGGTAGGCAGGGGGAACACGGTACCTGCGTCATCTTCTCTCTGTTGGCCTTGGGGTTCAGGGGGGCCTCTGTGAGCAGCACCGGGTGCTCCTCGGGGGCCACACGCAGCTCATTGTAGAAGGTGTGGTGCCAGATCTTCTCCATGTCGTCCCAGTTGGTGACGATGCCGTGCTCGATGGGGTACTTGAGGGTCAGGATGCCCCTCTTGCTCTGCGCCTCGTCCCCGACGTAGCTGTCCTTCTGCCCCATGCCCACCATAACGCCCTGCGGAGCCGAGCGGGTGAGTCAGCGCCGCCCCCGCCCCGGGCCCGGCCCGGCCCGCTCCCCGCGCCCCCCGCCCGCCTCACCTGGTGCCGGGGGCGGCCGACGATCGAGGGGAACACGGCGCGGGGCGCGTCGTCCCCGGCGAACCCGGCCTTGCACATGCCGGAGCCGTTGTCGATGACGAGAGCGGCGATTTCCTCTTCCATGGCGGAGGCTGCGCCGGGACGCGGGGAGGGAAGGGAAAGGGCCGGGTCAGCGGTGCCGCGGCCCCGGGAGGAGCCGCTGGCTGCGGGCCATGCCCGGCCCCCCCCGCCCCGATGGGCCCTCCCGTTTGAATCGCCCGTTCGAATCTCCCGCGCGCTGACGTCACCCGCCGCCTCCACCAATAGTGGCGCGCCCCCCCTCACACCCCCACCTGCCCGAACCCACGGGCGAGACCATCCCAGCGCGACACGAGGGGGTGGGGGGATGGGGGGGGACACAACCCGCACAGCCGCAGCCCACCGCGGCGCCGGGCGGGACCGAGCGCTGCAAAACCCTCCTTGCAACCCCCGGGGAACGCGGGGGAAGGGGCGGCGCGGGCGCGGTGCGGGGCCGTGCGGTACCTGCTGCGCGGGGGTCGCTGCTGTGGGCGCTGCGGTGACGGTGCCGCCTGGTCCGGTGCCGCCGGCTGAGTGAGACCGCCCGGGTGCCAGCCCCGAGCTTTTATACCCGGGGGGCGACGGGCCCGCCCCCCCGGCCGAGAACATCGCCATATATGGAGATCTTTCAGAAACACGCGCTCCCATTGGCCGGCGCTGCCCAGGCCACGTGGGGCGGCTGCCGGGCTGGCCCTGCCCTCTCGGCACCCCGGAACCTGCATGGGGCGGGGGGGCTGCGGGGGGGGGCGACCCCCGATCCCGCCGGGACCCCCCGATCCCAGCGGGACCCCCCGGCTCGGGCACCCCCGGGCAGCGCCGGGCACCCCCCCGGCAGCGCCTCCGGGGCGGCCGGGCCCCTGCGGGCCTGGCCGGGCCGGGCCTGGTCCCGCACCCCGAAGGGGGGACCGCGCCCCCCGCCCCGGGCAGCACGTGCACCCCACCCGGGCACCGGGACCCCCCCGCCCAGGCACCGGACACACCACCCCTTCCCACGGCACCTGCACCCCCGCCTTGGCACTGGGACCCCACACCCACCTGCACCCCCACCCACAGCACCGGGACCCCCCACCCGCAGGTCGTTCACACCCCACCCGCGGCACCTGAGACCCCCAAGCACCAGCACCCTGCCCGCAGCACCGAGCTGGGCATCCCTGGTGCCCCCCAACTCGCCCCCCCTGCACCCCAGACTCTGCCCTGCACACCCCCGTGCCCACTGCACCCCACAGAGCACAGCTTACATCGGGGGGGGCCACCCAGGGCTACAGGCACACCCCGGCCCCCCAAAGCCTCCCCCTGCACCTACAGGCCCAGCTGTGCTGCCCCTGCACCCCATAGACAGCACACACCCCCCAGTCAGTGCTGCCATCCCAGTGATCCCAGTGACGCCCCAGTCTGAGTCCCCCCAAGCCCAAATCTGGCCCCTCCCCAGCCCCCCTCAGCCTGGGGAGCTCCTCATACCGAGCCCCCTCCCCATTCCCTGGGGGGTGCCACAGGCCCTGAGCCCCCCCTGCCACGGGGGGTCACGGCCACAGCTCCACCTGTGCAGTGTCAGGTGTGTGGGGGGTCCCTGTGCAGGCCAGGTGGGCACAGCAGGCCAGGTAGCCACGCCTCGTGCCAGGTGGCCGTGGACTGTGTCAGGTGGCCACGCACTGTGTCAGGTAGCCATGCACCATCTCAGGTGGCCAGGTGCTATGCCAGGTAGCCACACACTGTGTCAGAGGCCTATGCATCCCATCAGGTAGCCATGTACCACATCAAGTAGCCACATGCCATGTCAGGTAGCCACGCGCTGTGCCAGGTAGCCATGCACCATGCCAGGTAGCCACAGGCTGTGCCACAGGCCCAGGCACCAGCCCCCCACACCAGCTCCTGGCCCCTCAGTGCCACTCAGGCCCGTGGCAGTGGTGTCCACTGGCCTTGCCATCCTTGTGACCCACGGAATTCCCACTGCCTGCCCGGCCCCTCCCAGCAGCTCCCGGTGCCACCGGGACGGGTGGCACGGGGGGTGTCGGGGCACAGCAACAGTTCGGGGTGGCCGGTGGGGGTTCTGGGGGGTTCCGGTACAGCCCGAGGGGTCTCGTGTCTCCCCCCGTGCCAGCGCCGTGTCCCGCGGGGCCGTGGTGGGACCAGGGGGGCACCAGGGGGGCTGGCCAGGGGGAAACTGTGCAGGTGACACCGCAGGTGACACCGCACCCTGCGGGTCCCGGGGGACACCCCGGCGGGACCCCCGCCCGCCCCCGGCACCGCCGCTGCCCGAGGGGGCCGCCCCTCCCCGTGACTCAGGGCAGGCAGGGCCGGGCAGGGAAGGGCAGGGCCGGGAAGAGGAGGAGGAGGAGGAGGAGGAGGAGAAGGAGGAGGAGGAGGAGGAGGAGGAGGAAGGCACCACCTCCGCCCCGCCTCGCTGCCCCCTGTCCGTCCGTCCGTCCGCGCTGCCCGTGCGCACGTGAGGAGTGATGATGGGGGAGTCCTACCCACCCCAGTACCGCTCCAGAGCCCCCAAACCCCCGGGCTGGGGAGGCACCGCTGAGCACCCCTCATCCCCCCAGGGGGGCAGGGCAGCACCCCCAAATCGCTCCCGGGAAGGCTGTTGGATGGAAACCAAGAAGGGGTCCCACTACCAGTACCCCGTCCCCCCTCCTGACCCCCTCTGTGACCCCCACCCCAAACCCCTGCCCTGACCCCCCTGGGCATGTGGGGACACAGCTGAGCCCCCTCCAGCCCCCAACTGCCAGCCCCCATCAGGGCTGGGGACCCCCCGGGCAGCCCAGCACCCCCATATCCCTCCTGGGAAGGGTGTTAGATGGAAAGCAGGAGGGGTACCCACCTGGGGGGGACACCCACCCCAGCCCCCTGTGATGCCCCGGCCTGTCATGAGTGTGTTGGGTCTCAGCAACCCCCAGTGGGGAGGGGTCTGGCTGTTCCCAGGCCGGGGGGGATGCAGGGACCCGCTGTGGCTGTGGGGCAGCGCCCAGGGGGCCCCCCCGAGGGGAACCTGACTCCGCCGGGGGGCCGGGGGGGGCCACGGTGTATAAATGCTGCTCCCGGCTGCTCGGCCAGGCAGGTGCCAGCGGGCACCCACCGAGAGCCACGCTGTCCCCCTGCCGCCCACAGCCCCCCCCCCGAGCCCCCCGGGACCCTGACCCACTTATCCCCCAGCGCCAGGGCCTGAAAGCCGAGCCGGCTCCGTTTCGGGGGTCAGTTACAGCAGCTCGGGTGTCGCGGCTCGGGGGGCCACGGCACCCCCCGGCTCGGGCAGAGCCAGCCCGGCATGAAAAAGTCATGAGCAACCAAAGCTGGGGTTGTTTGTGGGAACAATAACCGGGCACGGGGCTGACACCGGAGCCGCCGGGCCAGGGAGATGGTGGCAGGAACCAGAGCGGCATCGCCGGGACGCGGCCAGAGCCCAGCATGGGGGATCCGAGCGCTCCAGGGGGCCCAGGCGGTGGCACAGCCCGTCCCTGCTGGGCCCAGGTGGAGCGTGGCCGAGGTGGGGGGTCCCTGGAGCTGCGTCTGCCCCGTTTGGGGTGTCCCAGTTGGGCTGGGGTTCAGTGCCTGCAGGGTGGGAGTGAGGCCTGGTCTCCTGCACCCCTGTCCCCCCGAGTCCCCTGCACCTCCTGCCCCCACCACAGGGCCGGACCCTCATCGCTGTCATGAGTTCCAGGCAGTCTCAGCCCCAAAGGACTCCACGCCCCGGGATGGCTCCAGGGGGGGCTGGGGGTGTCCGTGACCCCGATCCACAGCTGCAGAAGGGATTTGGGGCCGCAGGACAGATGGAGGCCAAGGGCCCCAAAGCAGGATAAAAGGTTTACACTAATCAAAATGCCTGGCTAATTGGAAAAGGCGCTTAGGGGCTGGCCGGGAGGCGGCGCGGCTGGAGGTGACCCGCTGCTGAATCAGAGGGACCGGTAACCTTAACCCGCCGGCATCGGAACGGATACGCCGGCCCGGATCGGGTTCCCACCCAAGTTTTCCACCCGCGACTCCACCACAGCCGGACGGGGCCGCGGCGAGGGACGGTGGCGTGGCCGGGGGCTGCCGCGGTGCCCCCTCGCCCGGGCGTCCCCGGCGCCCACCGCGACCCGGCCGGTCTCTAATCCCACCTGAGGGTACCCAGGCGGGTCACAGCCCCCCAGGCCCCGTCCCGCTCCGTGCCGCGGGCACTCGGTCCGGCCCCGCCGCGACGCCCGGGCTCGGCAGCGCCGGGGAGCCCCCGCCGGCCCCCCGGGGGCCGCCCCGCCTCGGCGGAAGATGCCAACGAATGGGATCCACCAGGTGCTGAAGATCCAGTTCGGGCTGATCAACTGCGAGAGCCGGTACCTGACGGCCGAGAGCTTCGGCTACAAGGTGAATGCCTCGGCGCTCAGCCTCAAGCGTAAGCAGATCTGGACGCTGGAGCAGGATGAAGCCGACAGCTCCATCGTCTTCCTCAAAAGCCACCTGGGCCGGTACCTGGGTGCCGACAAGGACGGGAAGGTGCGCTGCGAGGCGGAGCAGCCGGGCCGGGACGAAGGCTTCAACATCATCACGCAGTCGGACGGGCGCTGGGCGCTGCAGTCGGCCCCGCACCGGCGCTTCTTCGGGGGGCGCGAGGACCGGCTGTCCTGCTTCGCCCCCAGCGTGACGGAGGGCGAGCTGTGGACCGTGCACCTGGCCATGCACCCCCAGGCCAACCTGCTGAGCGTGAGCCGCCGCCGCTACGCCCACCTGAGCGCCCACGAGGACGAGATCGCCACCGACAGCAACCTGCCCTGGGGGGTGGACGCGCTCATCACCCTCTGCTTCCAGGACAAGAAGTACAGCCTGCGCACGGCCGACGAGCGGTACCTGCGCTGCGATGGCACCCTGGTGCCCGAGCCCGGCGCCGGCACCGGCTACACCCTCGAGTTCAAGGCTGGCAAGTTGGCATTCAAGGACTGCGACGGAAAGTACCTGGCGCCCACCGGACCCACCGGCACCCTCAAATCCGGCCGCAGCTCCAAGCCAGGCAAGGATGAACTCTTTGACCTGGAGGAGAGTCACCCCCAGGTGGTGTTCACAGCAGCCAACGGCAGATACGTCTCCATCCGGCAGGGTAAGGGCTGCCCAACCATCTGCATTCCCCTGCCATCCCCTGCCTGCATCCCTCTGCCTGCCCTCTGCACCCTGCCGCCCCTGCCTGCACCCTGCTGCCCACACCAGTGTCCCCACTGCCCACCTACTGTACCCCACTGCCCCCTCCCTGCACCCCCTCTGCCTGCTCCCTGCCTATCCCTGGGACCCTCATTTTCCCACAGCTTTGTGGGAGGGAGCACTGCTGGGATCCTCCAGCCCGGGGGGGACACCCCACAGTAACAACCCCACAGCGCTGCCCCTGCCTGGGGAGCACCCTCTGGGTACCCTGGGGACATGGGGTACCCCAACCCAGCTGCTGGAGGGGGGCACAGGGGTCCTGCCTGCTCAGGGCCAGGGGGGTAGGTCAGTGGGGCTGGAGTGGGAGCAGCCATGGAGGTGGGAAGAGCTCGGGGTGGGGGGGGGGGGAAGTGCGTGGGTGTGTGTGTACACACGTGTGTGTGCACGTGCAGGGCTGTGGGTGTGCACAG